GGGGGGGGGGCATCATTCTTCATCTGATCAAGAATCCACTTCCTCACAAGCAAACTGGGAGATGCAGCGATGGGGAGGTTCTGACCCTTTTGTTTTAACCAAACACGACTTTCAGTCATATGACTTAAACGTCATCTTGATGACGCTAAAATACAATTGAGCATGCATGTCCATCCTTGTGAATTTAAGAGAAAAATGTTCATGCATTCCTCTTGAACAGTTTTGGGAAGTGCTTATTCCTTGTTATGTACACAGAACCATGAAGATGAATGGCACGGGACAAATAAATAGAGTTAAGTAAGGCTGGATGCCTTTGTGGGTATCAGTTGTTGTTTACTTCCAGCTACATTTAAGAGTTCCATCTAAACAGGGTTTCAAACTTAGGTTGGTTACTGGTCAGTTAATTTCATTTCAGCTTTGGAATTTGTTCGTGCTTTGGAGTTTGTAGGTGTTTTGGAGTTTTGTAGGTGTTTTGGAGTTTTGTAGGTGTTTTGGAGTTTTGTAGGTGTTTTGGAGTTTTGTAGGTGTTTTGGATTTTGCATGTGTTTTGGAGTTTGTACATGCTTTGGAATTTCTACGTGCTTTGTAATTTGTAAGTGTTTTGGAGTTTGTACGTGCTATTTGGAAATTGTACGTGCTTTGTCTCTAGGGTCCACCGTAGTTCTGGCGTCACAATAGGGACAATCATTTTAGTTTCCTTTGAGCTATTAAATAATAAGTAAGTATTTCGTGGTTGTTTGTGTTGGTTAAACGAAAAAGTGTTTTTTTTTTTAATTACTAGACATTATATTAACCAGATGATTTAGCTCATGGTTGACAAAATAGCATTAGTTGACACTTAAAGTCTGGACTTTTGTTTGTGGGGAGTAAATAAGAGTTGGTTGTTAACATGTGAAGCAAGCCAAAATTGTATAAATTTAGGTTAACAAAATAAGAATGTGTATGATTTTAAATATATCTATGTATAGAATTTCTAAATGAAGCAACAGCACGTATTCCCTAGATGTGTTAAAACTCCATCTCAGTTATACAAACTAAGTTTTATTTTGTTTTCCTTTCTCTGGTTGTTTATATTTTAAATTCATTCTCATTGATTATTGTATGTGCCTCAAGGGCTTATTAACATGCTTAACTGATCTAATTGCTTAAAAGAAAAATATTGCACGGTCCACACAGAGTGGATCAGTTTAAGCAAACTGCACATTAGTGCATTAACCCTTTTAGGAGGCGGAGTAATCAACTTTATCTAGCTTCCCCCACTGAGCACTTTAGCTCATTAGCAGCAGGGGGTGGAAATCAAATGTAGAATGGGCACATTTCTTCAGTTTGTTAACCATTCAATATGCTGGGGACTCTGGAGCTCATTAAAAACTGAACTGGTGGTGCCCGGGCATGGAGGCTCAGACAAAAACGCTTCAGAGCATGTTAGCCCAGATTACAGGGTGATGTGAAATGGCAGGGAGGTGATGTAGAAGAAACAGCTGGGTCCGTCCACCACGCTGTTTCTGGAACATGGGGCCACAGACAATGTGGGGACGTCAGAGCCTTTCATGTTCAGGTTGAAGGTTCCTGTCAGGGCAGGGCATGCCCGAACATGACGGACTTCCCGCAAGCCTCCTCCTCATCCACTGCCTCAGTTTGTACACTGCTGTTATGGCATTAAAGTCAACATATGCAACTGCTATACATTTAAGAGAAACCATGAACAACTTTCTCCTACAGCTACTAACGAGAGATAAACCTGCAGTTCTGCAGGCTTGAGTTTAGTTTCGTCTTAAAGGTGGTTATTATTCTATAGGTAAAGCTTTAAAGCTGCAATAATTGTATTCTTGTTGTAATTGAATGCATGGAGCCTTTTAAGTGCAACTAGCCCACCGCGAAGGCTAAACTCAGTAGATCCAGAGAATCTGACAAGTCTTTGAAATCAGGTGAGGTATAATTTGTGCACAGCGTGTGGTGTAAAGCTC